CTGACACTGTCCTCCGACTGCACTACTGGCCATCTGATATCCTTCCTACCCCAACCCCCGCACTGGCCATCCCCCCAGGAGTCAGACTTTCAGACCTGCATCATAGTCTGATGGCATATCTTACCCAAGGGTAACAGTAACACGTTCCACAGGGGTGGTTATGACAACCCTGCACACGAAGTCATATGTGTAAAGCATTGAGAAAAGTGAGCACTTGTTCAGTGCTCAATAAAAGTTTATTCATTCACAAAGCATTTATTTGGTATCTGCTGTGTGCTAAACACTGTGGTTGCAGAGATGAGTAAAACCTAATCCTTTCATTCTTTCTCTCTTATTTTTTTTTAAGTTTATTTAGTTAGTTATTTGGCTATACCAGGTCTTAGTTGCAGCATGTAGGATCTTTAGTTGCAGGATGTGGGATCTAGTTCTCTGACTGGGGATCAAACCCAGGTCCCCTCCATTGGGAGCTCAGAGTCTTAGTCACTGCAGCACCAGGAAAGTCCCTCGTCCCTGGTATTGGTCTCAGCATCTCTGAAGAGGTAAACTGAAGTGAGGATAGAAGTAGTGCATGGAGAAATTGAGAGCAGGGTATGGGGGGTGAGCATTCTGGAAATGATCTTAAAGGAGTAATTCAGGAGAAGTAGAAAGTTACAAAGGTGAGGATGCCCAGGGCACTCTCCACCACCCACAATCCACCGTGCACCCAGGAGTCCCAGTGATCAGAAAGATCATCCTCAAATCTAGATCCGATCACATCCTTCCCCAGCTGCCAGGCACCTCGGGGCCCCCCCAGACTCCCACAGTTCATGAAGCACCACTGGTCCAGCCCTGCCTCTGCTCCAGCTTTGGTTCAATCTCACCAACACCAACGGAGAAGGCAATGGCAACCCACTCCAGTACTCTTGCCTGGAAAATGCCATGGACAGAGGAGCCTGGTGGGCTGCAGTCCATGGGGTCGGGAAGAGTCGGACAGGACTGAGCGACTTCACTTTCACTTTTCACTTTCATGCATTGGAGAAGGAAATGGTAACCCACTCCAGTGNAGAATCCCATGGACAGAGGAGCCTGGTGGGCTATAGTCCATAGGGTCTCAAAGAGTCAGACACAACTGAAGTGACTCAGCACAACACTGAAGCCAGACAGACCGTCGCTTTAGGCTTCAGCCGCCACCTTTCTTTCTCTACCAGGTCTACACTCTCGCAGTTACCTCTGCCTGAAACATCTTTCCCTTCCCTGTCATTTGACCACCTCCTATGTATCCTTCATGGGCTTCCCTGATAGCTCAGCTGGTAAAGAATCCGCCTGCAATGCAGGAGACCCTGGCTCTATTCCTGGATCAGGAAGGTTCTCTGGAGAAGGGACAGGCTGCCCACTCCAGGATTCTTGGGCTTCCCTGGTGGCTCAGCTGGTAAAGAATCCACCTGCAATGCAGGCGACCCGGGTTCGATACCTGAGTTGGGAAGATCCCTTGGAGAAGGGAAAGGCTCTCCACTCCAGTATTCTGGCCTGGAGAATTCCATGGACTGTATAATTCATGGGGTCGCAAAGAGTAGGATACGACTGAGCGACTTTCACTTCACTATGTATCCTTCAGGCCTCAGCTAAGATGTCGCTTCCTCTGGGCAGCCCTCCCTGATTGCCTAGGTCAGAGAAGTGGCTCTCTTCTAGGTCCCCTAGCCCCATGTCTGCCCTGTCACACTGCTCTGCCAGGGCCTGGCTCTTTGTTTCCCTTGCAGGACTGTGAACTCCCAGAGGTCAGGGACTGTGTTTACATTTCTATTTTTAGTTTTTCATTATGAAAAATTTCAGACATATACCAAAAAAAAGAGAGAACAGCGCCATGAGACCCCGTACACCCATCACCCCAGAGCACACTGATTTTGTTCCATTGGTTCAGTCTCTCTCCCCCTTTTTTACTTTTTTCCTCCTTTACTAAAGTATTGTAAAGCAAATCATCCCCACCTCCCATGTATTTCACTATGCTTCTCTAAGAAATTAAATAAATAGTTTTTAATCACATGAATGACTGCTGCAGAGCTGTTTATAACAGCTCTGAACTGGAAACATGCTTATTAGCTAACATTTGAAAATGAAGGGGTGACCAGTCAAAGGACTCTGATGCATCTCTTCAGAGGATCAGTATGAAGACCACACAGCCTCCTGGCAAGATGCTAGTGACCAAGAAAAGCCCAGAAAGACAAAGAGCCCAGTCCAAGCTGGTCTCCACACTCTTTTTTGGCAAGCAGGTCAACATAGCTGCCTGGGTTCCCTGGTCAGAATAGAGAAAGCAAAAAGGAAGGTGAGGATGAGGGTGGTGAGATGTGGGCGAAAATGCTCTTCTCCCTTCCAAATGTTCTTCTCTGTTCTTAACGTCATCTTTCCAAGCTGTAACCTGCAAACCAGACTCGCTGCGGGGCTGTGTGAGGCTGAACAAAGGACTGGTGGCATCTGCTGGCTCCGTGGGGAGCTGGCTGGAGTCACTGAAAGCCTTGCTGCAGACCTCATGACAAAGGATGGATACAAACTCCGGGCACAGACCGTCTCAGTTCCCAGAAGGTGGTCGACAAGCCACATGGCTGTTTGTTCTTCTGCTGCCGGGGTTTTGGAAAGGCCGTGGTGTGGTGGCAGGGAGTCACCNAGTCTTCTCCAACACCACAGTTCAAAAGCATCAATTCTCCGGTGCTCAGCTTTTTTTATAGTCCAACTCTCACATCCATACATGACTACTGGAAAAACCATAGCTCAGCATCCTGTAAACAGGAGGTGTGATGACTTTATGCTTGTTCTCCCAAGTGCCATGCTGAGTCCAGCGTCTTCCTGCTCCCTAGAAAATCTGACTTGAGGAATTCTGGAAAAAGGACCTATCAGAGTGCATTGGTTAGGGGGCAGTGATGGAAAGAGGCTTGGGGGTATATGCCTGGAAGCCCTAAGTTGCAGTTCCAGCTCCCCATAAGTCACTTGGGAACCTTAGGGCTATCTCTCCCACTTGCCTCATCTACCAATGTGTCCATTCATCTCCATCTCACCCTAACCAATGTGATGCCACACATGGCCATTAAGCAGCTTCCTGGGGGCCTGCAAGGAGACCCAGAGCTGAACGGCTATAGTTCCTGTCCTTGGAAAGGTCACTTCAAACAATAACTATGGTTTTAAATGATCGAAAAATGACTGAGGGCATGATTTGTAGTGAGGAAATGGATGGGATTCAGGGTAGGCTGCCCCCAAATATGCCACTTTGGCAAATTGATTATTTTGAATTAAAGTTTCTTGGGGAACAGTCAGTGGAAGAACACTTGTCCCCTTGAAAGCAGGAAATAAATCTCCCATGTGAAGCTATTCTCTGTGTACCAGGACGAGAGGAGAAATCCTTATCTCCAGAAACGTGAAATGCAAGGTCTCAAGGCCAAAAAGGCTGCCCAAACAAACTCTGTTACTCCTTCATTAACTTGCTACCCAAGCAAAAAGCCCTTTGTTTTGTCCAATCTTCACAAATAATTGTTTCTTTGTCTGCAAGGTATAAAAGCTGCCTGCTTTGGTCACTTCTTTGAGATTCGTATGTTTGGGGCTCCCATATGGATGAAATTAAATTAGATTGTTTTTCTCCTGTTGATCTGTCTTTTGCCAATTTAATTCTATTAGACCAGCCAAAAAGAAGCTAGAAGGGCAAAGGGAAATTCTTCCTCTTCTAGAGGATCAAGAAAAATGCCAAGGGCTTTCATTTGCTAAGGGGCTTTGAAGATGGAGCAGAAGTTCACTGGTTAGGCATGTGTGGGAACAACAGGGACAAAGATGGAGGCAGGAAACACATGGTTGTTTGAGAAACTTGAAGCAGTTAAGCTCAGGCTGAGCTGGGAAGGGCCTTGGAGGGTCTGCCTACTTCACAGGGTTTCCAGGAAAGGCCTTGGCATCTCGTACTGACATGTTTTTACCCACAACAGCAGGACACTTCTGAGGGCAAGTGGGCAAGCTTGTGGGTTCCCCCAGCAAACAATTCTCCAGTCTTCTGCAGATACCAATGGGGCGCCCTGTAATTTAATTCATTCTAACACTAACCACTTGGAGTTTGTGCAGACCCCACAGATTAAGAGGGTTTCCCAGGTAGCGCTAGTGGTAAAGAACCTGCCTGCCAATGCAGGAGATGTAAGAGACGCGGGTTCAATCCCTGAGTTGGGAAGATTCCCCTGGAGAAGGGAATGGCTACCCACTCCAGTATTCTTGCCTGGAGAATCCCATGGACAGAGGAGCCTGGTGGGCTACAGTCCACAGGGTCGCACAGAGTCACACACGGCTGAAGCGACTTAGCACACACACATGCCACAGGTTAAGGGTCAAGTGCCACAAGACTGCCCTCCTTTTCAGTTGCAAGCAGAGGGTCCTCAGGTTTCCCACATTTCTGTCCAATTTGGCTACAAATCAGATTGACCCCCTCCTCCCATTCCATAATTTGCTGTAACAGCTCATGTAACTCAGGGCAACATCTCACTATTGCTGGTTTATTACAAAGGACACAAACAGCCACATGAAGAGGTACATAGGTAAGCTCTGCTAGGGTGCACAGAGAGCAGAGCTTCTGTCTCCATGGAGCTTGAGGTGTGCCACACTCGCAGCAAGTGGACGTATTCAAAACCCAGAAGCTCTCCGAAACCCTTCACTGAGGCTTTTTATGGACGTTCCATTATCCATGGCATGATTGATTGAATCATTGGCCACTGGTGATTAACTCCCTTTCCAGCCCCTCTCCCCTCCCTTCGGGTGGAGGGTGGGGGCCCTAAAGCTCCAGCCCTCTAACCACACGGTTGGTCCCTCTGCAATCAGCCTCCTTCCAGAAGTTATCTAAGACATTCCAGCCACATCGTTCATTATCTATAAACTCCAGTACAGTGGATAAGTGCTTGCTATAAATAACAAGATGCTCCTATCATTGCTGTCAGGAAATGTCCAAACTATTTTATTATTTTTAATTTTTAAAAACTGTTTATTTTGTTTTAAAATATTTATTTGGCTGCACAAGGTCTCAGTTGCAGCATGCAGGATCTTCGCTCATCATTGAGGCATGCTGGTTCTTGTGGGATGTCATGTGGGATCTAGTTCCCTGACCAGGGATCGAACTCGGACTCCTTGCATTGGGAGTGGGGAGTCTTAGCTACTGGACCACCAGGAAGTCCCCAAAACTCTTTGAGAAGCTCTGTGCTAGGACCTGGGAAGAAGATGAAGAGTCGGAAGATTGGAGTTCAAATCCTGACATTTCTGCTGGCTGACTTGCTGAATTTGAGTTTCCTGCTTTATAAATTAGGATGATTACAATACCCATCTCACCAGGTTGGAGTGAGAAGTAAATAAATGTATGATGAAAAAAGATCCAAGTTCCTGGCATCCAGTAGGTGCTCAATATGTGTGTATTCTCTTTTTAAAACATTACATTGTAATCTGAATGTAATTAACATCAGCACCTACCATAGGTCAGGTCTTCCTGTGACATCTCATTTAATCCTTGCAGTCATTCGGCCAGGTAGGTTATAACTCCCATCCTACAGAGGACACTGAGGCTCAGAGAGGGCAGGTGGCTTGTTCAAGGTCATACAGGTGACAGGATATGGGGCAAGAATTAGAAAGAAGTGGGCTGGACTCCAAATCTTAATTCTTTTGACTTTTTCTCAATTGACAAACCACCAGGCCTCTCCTATCTTCACTGCAGAGACTGCACATAGCTTCTTGGTATTCATTTCCCAATCCTTTTTCTATAACAGCAACTTGTAGTTGATCACTTTGTGGCTCCATCCAAAGCCTTCATTTCCTGACCTCCTTTTCACCAAGACCAAGATGTGGTCATGGGGCTAGATTACAGCCATTGAGATGTAAGGAGAAGCATCATGAGGCACCTCTGGGGTCTCCTTAAAAGAGAAGGGAGATTGTGTGCCAGGCTCCTTTGTCCATGGAACTTTCCAGGCAAGGACACTGGAGTCGGTTGCCATTTCCTACTCCAGGAGATCTTCCCAGCCCAGGGATCAAACGTCTCATCCATGTCCTGCATTGGCAGGTGGATTCTTTACCACTAGTGCCACCTGGGAAGCCAGTGAGATTGCATGTGTGCATGCATGCTAGGTCATTTCAGTTGTGTCTGACTCTGTGTGACCTTATGGACTGTAGCCCACCAGGCTCCTCTGTCCATGGGGATTCTCTAGTCAAGAATACTGGAGTGGGTTGCCATGCCCTCCTCTAGGATCTTTCCTGACCCAGGGATCAAACCCTGTGTCTCTTATGTCCCCTGCATTGGCAGGCAGGTTCTTTACACTAGCACCACCTGGGAAGCCAGTAAGACTGCTTACAAGTAAATGTTAATTTGAAAAAAAAAAAAAGAGGAAGCAAATGCCATCTTCCTACTTTTCTCGTTCCTTTCTGCTGGCTGAACTCAGATGAAATGGCTGAACTCAAGGAGCCATCTTGGGCCATGCAGAGTTAGCTGTGTTGGTAGGACAGCAAGGTGGTGAATCACCATCCCAGTAATAGACTGCCTCCCTCTTCCCCCTTCTGAATGTCAGCTCTTCTCTACTAAGTCTTTCTTTCAGCTTTTAAACAGGCTCAAGTTTCTCCCAAGCTAAAAAAAAAACCGCCCCTCAAACCCATGTTCCCTTCCCTCCCTCTCCTGAATCCACCAACTGGGAAGACCTATTCTCAAGGTCTTTGTGTCTCCATTTCCCTGCCACTCCTCAACTCACTGCATCTGGGTTTCTGTCCTACCGTTCCATCAGAATTGCCTGGGTCAAGGGCCTGGGACGGCTAAATCTAATGGGTTTTCTTTGGTTATCTTCTAACTGATCTCTCGGAGCATGCCATGTTGCCGCCCATGCCCTCCTCACCCTTGGTTCTGGGGCACCTGTTACCCTTGCCTCTCCGACTGCTCACTTTCTGTTGTCTTTGCTCGCAAACCCTCTGCTTTGAGCTCTAGTCCTCTCTAAGGAATGATCTGATTCCTTTTCTTGCATGTCTCAAAAGCATCTCAAACTCAACACGTCCAGGGAGTCCCGTGGCAGTCCGTGGTTAGGACACCAAGCTTTCGCTGCGGAGGTCCCAGGTTCAATCCCCAGTCAGGGAACTAAGATCCCGCAAGCTGTGCTGCACAGCCAAAAACAAAGCAAAAAAAACAACAGAAATAGCATCAACACGTCCAAACTGAAAATTCTCCCTCTCCAGAAGCCTAGCTGTTCTTGCCAGAAATCTGAATCTTTGACACATCTCTTCCCATCATCATCCAAAACCAATCCATCGTCAAGCTTTGACAGTTTCATCTCCTAAATAAAGTCCACCCGAAGGCCATCAGCTGATTCAGGCCACTCCAGGGGCTGTTGCCTCCATCTAGTAAACAATCTCCTATCTTTTCATCTCCACTCCAATCCTCTTCTAAACACCAGTTCTGCACACAGTAGTCAAAGGAATCTTTCTATCAACAGGGTCCTGTCAATGACTTGCTCAGAAGTCAACAACTTGCCTTTGTCCTCCAGATGAATAGCCCAACTCCTGCCTGGGCCAGCAGGGTCAGAGTCCGCCCTCTCACCGCTTCACTTCACTCCTCCTCCCTCTCTGTTCCCGCCTCCGCGGGCTTCTGTGACACCCACGCTTCCCGAGCCCACCCCTCCCTTTCCTCGCGCCACTAGCGGTACCCTCCTGCTCTTCCTTGTCAGTTAACGTGCCACGCTCTCATGCCTGCCACATCCATAACTCTCTTCCCAGCAAGTAGCACCATTCGAATGACTTACATATATTGACGTTGTCCTCCCCAATTAAAATGTTAGCTGTTTGAGGGCCTGTCTTGCTTGCTGCTTCACCCCCAAAGTATCAGGCACAGTCATCCAAAGAATATTTATTGAGTTTATGAATAATTCGCCCGCCCCCAACCCCACGCGAAGAGCCCACTCATTGAAAAAGACCCTGATGCTGCGAATGATGGAAGGCAAAAGGAGAAGGGGAGGGCAAAGGATGAGATGGCTGAATGGCATCACCCACTCAATGGACACCAGTTTGAGCAAACTCCCGGGAGGCAGTGAAAGACAAGGGAAGTCTGGCGTGCTGCAGTTCATGGGGTGGCAAAGAGTCGGACACGACTAAGCGACTGAAGAACAACAGCCCCCAAACAGCTCATAAAGTACCCCAAACTTTTAGGAGCCCCACCTGACACGGATCCTGGAGAATGCTTGCAAATAAAGGGTGAGCGGCAACCGCAAAAGGAAGCGCGCTTTTTCCCGCTTTATCCCCTACAGCAGAAAGGACTCAAAAGCGCGCCTGCGCATTTCGCTTCGCTACGGCCCCCCCCCCCCCCCCNCTTCGGCCGTGGGGTGGCGCTGCGCGCATGCTCCCCGATAGCGCGGTCCTCCTGGCTGGCTTCGGGCCGCTCTAGCCGCCCTTTTTGACTGCTCCGCCGGGAGGCGGGCACGTCCGCGGGGGTCCCTCCAAGATGGCGGCGCAGAGGAGGAGCTTGCTGCAGAGTGTGAGGAACCCACTTGCTCTTCGGGTTGGGGGGTTGGGAGTCCTGGGGGAACTGTCGGGTGCAGGCGCGGCCCCCTCTCCGCATTTGGGCTGCCTCCCTGTCCCTAGCGGGGTGTGGCCGTCACTCTTCCCGTTTCCCAGGCCGGCCCACCCCCCTCTTTCGTGACCGGGGGGCGCGTGCGGCCCCGCAAGGCCTGCGCGTGCGCGCTGCTGCCCAGGCTGTCGGGGGCTCGGATTCGCGGTCCAGTGGCCGCGAGCGTCAAGGGCGCGTAGAGGGTAGGAGCGTCCTGAACCCTGCAGGGACACTAGCGCGCGGCCGGCGAGAGAGCCCGAGCAGCGAGCCCACCCCGGACCCTGGGCAGGTCGTTCGTTAATCCTCATAGCAACACCAGCCCATTGTGTATCGCTTACTGTATCCTAGGCTTTGTGCCAGTCGCTTTACATTTGTGAGTTTAATTTTCATATCAGCCCCGTGAGGTAGATACTGTAATTCTTCCTGTTTTACAGATGAGGAAACTGAGGCACAGAGAGGTGGTCCTTTGCCCAAGGCCACACAGCTGGTAAGTGGCAGAGGCAGGATTAAAGTCAGGGATTCTGATTCCAGAAACTTAATCTCTAGGTTATATGGGAGGAATGGCTGGGTTCAGACCCTGGTTCTAATTCACTATTCCTCCATTGGCCTCAGTTTCCTTAGGTGTTAGGTAAGAGTAGGTAGTATGTGTGGGGGGGGTGGGGATGGGGGCATAGTCTTGAGACTCCACTCCTCTCAGTCTGGACCCTCATGGGCTTGTCACTGGTGTCCTCCAGCCTCTGCATCCTTTTGACACACATTCACATCCATGGTGCATGTTGTCACCATGGGCCGATTCTGACCTGCCGGGGCAGGTTGGCAGTCACCTGGGTCCTCTTCAGACTTCGCAGTCTGTTGTACTTGCCCGTGGACTTGACTGCCTCCTGTAGTGGAAAGTGAAGAGAGGGATTTATGATCTACAATGAAGAGTGTCACCATCGCCTACCATCACTGGGTGGGCATTTAATAACCTTGTTTGTAAAATAATGAGTAAAGCATTTGAAGCCAGGTCCAGTGCTTAGCCTTCCCTGGTGGGGAATGCTGTCTTCCCCTCCACACCTTTGGCTGCCCCTTTATTTTACTGCTGCCTGGCAGTTTGGCCTCATCCTTGAGTTGGTTAGGTAGGCCTAGCCTTCTGTTTTGTAGGAGGGCAGGGTCCCTCTGCAAATGTCCCCAGTGTAGTAAACATTGAAGAAATACTAGCTGGATGGTGGCAAATGCTGGAGTGGTAACTGTTGTAGGCTGACTTGGCTTACCCAAAAGAGTGGCTACCAGCTTCCCTCCTTTGTCGGTGTGATGGAGCCCAAGTAACTTGGGTTAGATAGAGGTGAGCTTTGTTAGCTCCAGAATGTGTTCCTGGGTGGTGTGCATTTTTTTTAAAAGTTGGCTGGTTAGCTTGAAGCACATAGCATCATGATGAAAGGCAAAGGAATGGTGGGCGTGCCCACATTAGGCCCCTCCCACCCTAATAATGTTCACGACATCTTTGCTCACAAGGTGTCCAAGTGTCCATGCACATGTGCTAGGCTTGACCTGTCCTCCACTGGCCTGAGTCTTGTTGAGAGGAGCTCAGACAGCATCATTCTGCAGGTGGCTATAAGGGATGCTGGTCTGTAGTCACTGGACCTGGGTATACGAAGATAAATAGAGCAGTGTCCACCCTTACTGCATTTGCAGTGCTGCGTGGAGAAGCATGTATCACAAATACAGTGATTAAAGCACTTTCCTGTCAGTGTGAAGAGGGGCTGCTGATGGCCTGATGTGACCAGGTCATTGGACGCTTGTAGGAGGGGCTGGGGACCTATTGACATGGGGCTGGGAGGGGGTGCTGATGAGCTGACAGATTAGCTGAGCGCTTCTTGAAATGTGGTCCTGAGGAATTTCACCTTTGGTCCCCAGGTGGTGTAGTGCCTTGAAAGGTCTTTTGAAGAGAAGATGAGCTTTTGAAGTAACTTCAAAAGAACATGGGCCCTTCACAACCTGATAAAACAGCTCACCAGTCCTGTATGGCCTTGGGCAAGTCACATTGCATCACTGAACCTTGATTTTTGACTTAACTTCCCTGAACCTTGGTTTCCCCAACCAAGAGTACTCCCGGGAGCATCGTTAGTATTAAATGAACATATTACATGCCTGACCTGATGTGGTTATGCTCCAGCCATGAACCTCCACCCTCAGTTCTGCTCTGAATGAAGGCTGCATTTCTTTTCCTCCAGTGTCACCGAGTACTCACTGTGTGGCAGGCGCTGGGTAGGGGCAGGGGACTCTGCCCTCATGAAGCGTTATGTTCTGGTAACGGAGACAGGAAGCAATAAGTACAGACTGTATATGATATGACAGTTTCTAGGATATAACACAGGAAGTGGTACGAGGAAGAATAGGCGGGATTCACAGACAGGATGATGGAGAGCCTGTTGTAGAGAGTGGTCAGGGAGGATTGTTTGACATTTGATGAGAGGCACGGGCCGTGTAGGAGGGAGTATTCCTGCATGAGGCAACAGGGACGCAAAGGCTCTCCTGTCGAGGAGCATCAGGAGGCCAGCATGGCTGAAGTGGAGTGGAGTGTGTTGGGGTAGTGGTAGATGCTTGACGTTTGAGGGAGCCTTGTGGATCCTCATGTGAGCTTTGGGTTCTGTGCTAAGTGTAATGTGACGCTCTCAGGTTTGAGTCGAGGCATGAAGCGATCTGATTTGTGGCAGGAGCAAGAGCCCTCCGTACAGAGGCCGTCATTTGAGTGGCGAGAGTGGCAGCTCTGGGCGTGGTGCTCCTGGTTGTCCAGGTGTAAGATGGCCGAGGCTTGACCAGCGATGGCAGAGGGCTGGTGGGGAGTGCCGGGTTCTGACTGCATTTCGGGGAAGAGCTGATAGGATTTGCTGACAGATCAGGCGTGGGGTGTGGGACAGAGGGAGAAGAGTTGAGAAGGACTACAAGGTTTTCATTGGAACAACAGTGGTGCCATTTACTGAGGTGGGGGACCTTGGGGGCAGGGAGAATCACTAGTTTAAGTTTGCCTAAACTACGGCTTCCCTGGTGGCTCAGAGGTTAAAGTGTCTGCCTGCAATGCAGGAGACCAGGCTTTGTATCCCTGGGTCAGGAAGATCCCCTGGAGAAGGAAATAGCAACCCACTCCAGTATTCTTGCCTGGAGAATGGACGGAGGAGCCTAGTGGGCTACAGTCCACGGGGGTCGCAAAGAGTCAGACACGACTGAGCCACTTCACTTTCACTTTTCAAACTATTACTTGCTTAATTGTAAAAAAGTCAACTTGAAATCAGTTTTCTCCTGAGCAGATATATCTATGATATCACAAGTCATAGCCATATTTTTTTTCCCCAATGTATATGAAAATAAACATACAGCCTTAAAGTAAAAACATCCTTTAAGCCCGTAACCATCACCCATAACCATCTCATACACCATCAAAATGTGGTCTAGCTGCTCTGGGACACAGTAAACTCCGCAATTACTAGTAGCCCCTTTAAGAATGTATTAGGTCTATATCTCTGATGAAAACATAGAGAACCTTTGATGGAAACCCTAGTGAAAGATGCAGCGCCAGGAGTGGAGTTGGTCCCAGAGAAGCAAGGAGAGAAAAGGAGGTCATTGAGAAAGAGAGATGGCAGGAGGCGTCAGGGTGTTTTAGGCTTTTTGGAGAGAAAGAACTGTCCCCCCCCCAACCCAGAGTCATCTTCCTGGGGGCTTTATTCTCCCTTTCTTAGCTTCCTTTTTGCCTCTAAGGAATCTGGGTGCTTTCACCACAAAAACACTTTCCCTTTTCATACAATAATTTGATATTCAAGCTGTGGCCTGAAATTGGAATCATGCTTTTGTCCATTTCTGCTGCCCAAGAGTTTGAGATGAGTCTCCGTGGGGACTTTTATGGAGTATTTTATGTGACATTATCACATATGTACATGAGGTACTAATGCATAAATATATGTGCACAAGGTATAACGCCCTTAATGGGTTAAATATAGTTGAATCATTAGAGAAATGTATACCAAAATAGGAATTTTGGAAACTCCCTCACAGTCAAAATTAGGCTTTTTGAAACAGATTCTTTCTTATAAGATATGAATTTGTAACCTATGGAAGAGCTAAGTGGGCCATGCTCACAGTTGTGTTTACTCGGCTCTGTGAGCTGTGAGACGCCCCCTTTTCAGCTTCTCACGGCTCATGTTCAGGCACTCAAGCACTGCTTGAGCAGCACTTTGGGCCTGGCATTTATAGGCGGGGGAGAAAGTATGCATCAGTGGGTGCAGGGGTGGAGGGGTGGGTGGATTGTGTGAATAGAAAATAAATGACCTTTCCAAAAATTGTTCAGAAACGTGGAGGAAAGAAGCAAGAGGGTAGGCAGTCTGGTGGGTTTTAATAGAATCTGTAGGGAACGCTTGGTGTGGATAAACCCCATGGAGGTGGAGAAAGGGGGGAGAATAGAACTGAAACTTACTTAGCCACAGCAGGGTGAGAATGATTTGGGGGGCCACTGCTGAAATCAGGGGGGACCCAGTACTCTCCCACTCCAGCATGGCCAGCACCTCCTGGAATTTTCTGGCGGCCTGTTACTGAACGTTTGAGCTGCCGTGGGGACTGCAATCTAGGTACCTGAGAAATTGCCCAAATGTCATTGGGTCTGACACTACTGCTTGTAAGGACACATCATTTTATATACTACCAAGAAAGAAAGCGCACTGCTGATT